TAATTATTTTAATTAATAACAATGTACATCACCAGAATTCAATTATTTTCAAAAGTAATAAAAATTCTTCGCAATAATTCAATTATTTTCATTACAATTTTTTTAAATTCCTCATACGAACTTAAATTTTCTTCTTTGTATTTTTACAAATTTTATTTTTTATTATTTTTATTTATTTCTTCTATAAACAATAAAATTTTTACAGGAAATCTAATAATTTAATTAATTTTTAACGTCTATTTTTAATACAATTTTTCGAAAAATGCTACTATTCTTGAAAATGTTATTAAAATTCTTCGAAAGAATTCAATTATTTAAAAAACTTTGATGAATTCTTTATACTTATAAGAATTCAATTTTAAGAAATATTCAATTATTGAATAAATTATTTATTTTTGTTGGATTTAAATAATTGAAGTATTTTGTATTTGAATAATTATAAATAATTTAAAGAAAATTGAATTTCAGTTAAAATTTTAGAAATGTATACTGAATATTAGAATATTTTGAAATAGTACTAACTGTTTACTAATTTTAATTAGTGGCAGACGTTTTGCTTTTGAATTAGTAAATTTTACTAACAAATAGTGATTTCTACTTATTTATTTATAAAAATGATTAAATTTTGGAAGAATTACAGTTGTCCTACAAATACTTTTTTACTGCTTTTTTCCAGTCTTAAAGCTATAAATCTATCTCTAAATTTGAATCAGTCAAAAATCATAGTTTTAACTGCGAATCATTAAAGAACTTTTTGCTTCTAAATCAGTTATTTTTAACTAATTAAAATTAAAAAAAAAAAGTTATTCAAAAAATATGTAGCCGCAACTAAAAAAGTACGTTTGAATTAAATATACTTTATAATTGAATTAAACATAATTTTTATTGAATCAAACTTATTATGGATTCAATCAAAATTATTATGTTTAATTCAAAAATAATTTTTGGTTGGTATAACAATTAATATTGTTTTCTCAGTGTACTTTTTGGTATACTTTTTTAAAATTAATTATCGAGTACAAAGCCTGTAATTTGTTCCGCTTTTTTACCCAAAGTAATTTCATTCTTGAGGATGTATGTAAACAAAAATAAAATATCCACCTAATAATAGAAATAAAAAGTTAGGCCTAATTCAATTGCAAGCCGCCGCTTCGCAAACACTCGTGATAATTCAATCAAGTTGAACCTATGGTTAGGAAAACTTACTGCTCCCCATCGGACAATTTGAGATCACACACGCATCCCTCTCTCTCTCTCTATCTTCTAAATGTTATAGTGCAAAAGGGGGATACGCGCTCTTATAATCCTCACATGACAACATCTGCACTATAATCGGCTGATGATTTCTATCCAGAATCCCTTACTCCTCATCTTCATGTACACATTTTGGGGTTGGTCTCTATGCGCTCTAGTCGCGCAGCCAAAAAGTAAATCAATCCCCTGTCCGCTCGTTACCACCCTCCATTCCCATATTGTCTCTCATTCCTCGATGACCCTACTCGTTTCTCAGTTTTGGTTGCATCGTCGTGCCACTTTACCCGATTAAACATGTTTTTGCGTGAATTATCCTTGGAATTTATGTACAATGGGAAAAGTAATGACTCGAGGTTTAACAGACATATAATCATAGAGATGATAAAAGGTTCAATCTCATGGAAACTTTTCATATATCAAGATTCCTGCTGCGGGCCATTTTCACGGACCGGCGAATCAAATTGTGTCTAATGATAGTTTTCGATTAATTTGCTGTTTTGGATTTTTAGAGTTAAATCGATTATTTTGGCAATTGAATATTAGATTATCGAAAAAATAAATTGACCGCGCATCTATACCAAAATTATGAAATTATTTGGTGCAGTAATTATTTTAATTCGTTGGATTTCATTTCTGTCAATATCAGGTATAGTTGTCAGTTTATCTATGTAGAATTACATCCTACAGTTTTTAACATTTTATGAACGAAATTTTATTCCATTTCTTGTACTAAGGAATATGCGTAAAGTACATTAATCATCTCTACTCCTAAAATATACATTAAATTAGAAATTTACTTAAAGTCATAGTTAAGGGTCAAGTTTAAAAAAATTAATTTTCAACTAATAATTGAAGTAACATATATGCAGTTAAATTTATTGCAATTGTAAACAATGTTACTGGAGATGCTTTGTCTCATTGTTTTGTTATATTAGGCATATTGTGTCTATAAAGATTTTGTCACTCTGTAAATTTACTGTTGAATAAGAAATTTATTGAATTAGGCAATATTAGTGTACTTGTGTCTAATAGGATTGGCTATTTGCTCTTAGCAAGAGGTCGCAAACAAAAGATAAGAAAAATATATTTGCCTTCAGCTAAATATACTAAAAATTAAAAATGAATTTTCTAAACATGGATTTTTGTACTGTCACCATCACAAATATTTTTCAACTTTGAAAATTTAGCCCTCTAATTTTTGAATCGGATTTTCACTTCTCACACTATAATCGCGGTAATCAACTTTTGACTATAAATAAATCTTATACTTTCAGTCCAATTTTGACTACATTAGTGCCATTTTTGACTGAATTTTAGTCTTGAGAGTATTATTTTAAGTCCTAAAGTTATGACTTAACCCATATTTTTAAATTTAAAAACAGGCTATACTTTTCAGGCATTTTAGTATTAAGGTGTTAGCATAGTTTCGACTTTTTTTTGTATAACTTTGGGATTTTGAAATTCTTGTTTATTATAGTTTAGCCAAGAACTACAAAAATTTCAAAGTTACAAAAAAATTGAGGTGATTTTGCGGATTGGTTCCATTTTAATACCTGAAGTCGGCTGTAATTTGGCACTTTCTGTTTATCAATGAAGAATTTGATATATACGCTATATGGAAAATTGACTATAAACTATAATATATGACAAAAGCGTATAATTTAATTCTTCATTAAATCAAATATATGTGCAATATAAACATTATCAGTTTACACCTAGTACCTCATTGTTACATGCCTTTTCAATAATCTTTAACACTTGTGCATTAATTGTTATGAATTTATTATTATCATCTAGTAAAGTGCTGTTAAAAACACTTTCAAAGCATATTTATGTTCTTTTTATCAATTTAAAATATGAACATATATAACTTTTTATACATATTCCATGAAGCACAAGAATTGTATATTTATATATTATCTATGTGCAGATAATAGTATAAAGGACGGCACGAAAGTTTATTTTGCACCATATATCTCTAATAGCTCTTATGTCAAGTGAATATATTTATTTCCATTTGAATGAATTTATAATTGTGAAAACCAATATACTTTCATATCTTTCTTTTATAATATAATATATTAGATATATCCATCATACTTTCGTATTCTTGTTTCTCTTTTAATATTGATCCACAAACCGTCGTTTTTGCAAAAAGTTCAAAAAGAATTCTTTAATTCTTTTCTGCGTCTTTTATTTTGATGTAGAATTTCAAAGAGAATTCTTTAACTTTTTTATTTCTATTTTAAGAATGGAGAAAAATTCTTTTTGTTGATCTTCTTATACGATATTCTCTCATTCTCATTATTCTTAAATTTCTTCCATTAGCAAAATGTTTTATTTTCCGTAACTCTTGTTTAAACATAATTCATCCTTTTTAGGTCATTAAAGTTTACTGCGCAGCTTCTGTTGCTTCAGAAAAAAAATTTGAAGCTTTCTTTGTAGATTTTTCTTTTTTTATTTATACGAAAAGCATACTTGCTGAGATAATAAAATACCGAAAATGTTCTAAAATTGCCGAAAGTTTAGAATAATTTTTCCGTTGAAAAATTGAAAATTCTGTATAAAAGAAACGATCAGTGTAAAAAATAATGTCAAAATTAAAACAAAAGTATAGGAGTAGAAGTTGTAAGCTTGCAGCAAACTTGTAAGGTATTGCTGCAAAGTCTCATTTGCTAAATGGTAAAAAATATAAAGTAACTTTTTTTATATTTACAAAGTAAAACCTAAACTGTCTCGAACTTTTGCCCATAGGCACATTTTTATACTGTTTTCGAAGTAAAAATTTGTTACGCTCAAATTACTTTTTTGTAAAAATTAGTAAAATGTATACTCATCAGAACGTAGCAAAATTTACTCCACAAATAGTAAAAGTTACTATATATATAGAAATGCACAGAATTTGCTGTCAGTTTGGCTATTACTATGAAAAGTATAGTAAAAGTTACTATATTTTTAGATGTTCGGTGTATTTAAAGGCCAAAAGTTTTTCATTGTAAACTGCATGATGCATCATATATATATATATTAGGGACATAAGTTTTATTCATTAAAAAGTTGTGATTAATATAGTTGTGTTAAGATCTGATTTTTATCAACAAAAAAATAATTCTACATCAATATCTTATAATATTTGTAGAAATATCTCCAAATTTTGTCTAAATATTTGAATGTTTAATAAACAATTTGCAGCATACTTGCAATCTATAAGCATGCTGCAAGTGTCAAACTCATAATAATTCAAAGACTGTAAGCTTCACAAGCTTTCTGCATGTGGCAATATTGATAATTCAAAGTCTGTAAGCATGCCGCAAACTTGCTAAGAAAGTTTGCAGTGTCAGCTTGCTGCAAATTGCAAAATTGATAGTTTAAAGCCTGCAAGTTTCCCGCTATCTTGTTCAGTAAGTTTTCAGAGCAAGCTTGCGGTAAACTTACATTCTTTAAAGTTATGAAAACATTTTGCCACTTGCAGCAAGCTTGGTCAATGAGTTTTCAGGAAAAGCTTATGCGATAAACTTATACATTCTTTAGGAGTTATGAGGACATTTTGCCACTTGCATCAAGCTTGCACTGCAACTTTTTCTAACTTGCCGCAAGTTTGCCAAAAACTTGAAGGTTATTAGGAAACGTTTTAAAAATGTTCGTACGTTCGTAGATTTTTTTTGAAATTCGTTTTTCCCTTTCTTAAGAAATTTTTCTTGCGGATTGAAACTGCATTAAAGAATCTGATTTAAATAAATACGTACTTTGAGTTAGAGGATCACCAGGCTCATCTTTGAGATTAACAGGCGAAATCTTCAGGGACCTTGGAGGGCCCTGAAGCACGAGAGGCCCGGGCCCTCCGCCAGTGCCCGGTCGTTGCATCACGCTCAGGCCCCCTATTTCGACAGCTCTTTCGTCCCTGCGCACTCCACACGTTAACTTTCGAGCAATCTTGACTGATTCTTCTCCCCGTCGGAGAAGCCACCCTTCAATTACCCCCCACTCTTTTCGGACAATTATATTTCCGTTAGTCGTGGATGATCACTTGTCGTTATTGAAAATAATATCCTTCCACCAGTCGCAATTTTAACAAAAAAAACACCTTCACTACAAATTCGTTTCCTATTATATTTTCTAGATGATTAGAAATATCTCACAATCACTATTCAATAATCAATCATATCCGAAAAGAACACCAAACAAACGAATACATACAATATAAGTCACTATTGATAAATCACATAATTTTTAAATTCCCGTTTAAAAGTAGAATTACACTTTTGACTTTCCTGTTTTAGTAACATAATCCTGATTAAAATATCAATTATATTTTAAAAATATTCTTGCACTTGAATTCATTTGCTTCCTTGTTTGCTACGTATAATTATTGAGATGTGTTTTCTTGTACATTGTTTATTGTATAGCTTCTTTTTCTTCTTCTTTTGTTTTGCCTCTCTTCTGTCTTCCTCCAGATCCTCTCTTCTGCTCCTCGCGATATTCTAATCTATTCCATATGTGTTCGTGCTTAAAGCCATTTACACACACACACACACGCGCGCGCAAGGGGAGAGGGGGAGTTGGTGTGATAAATTTTTGTGACACTTTTTAACGAAGAGTGTAAGAGAGGAGTGAGGAGAGAGAGGTGAGAGACAAAAAGCAAACAACAACCCCAACGAAACAGTCGGCGCGGGGCCCTAAGAGGCACTGACTGCTAAGTTAGGTTTTCCACGTTAGGCTAGCTATCTGCTAGCACACCCATCCTAACAGAGCTGGTGTCCCCACCTTCCTCTGAATCCCCTCTTTTTCCTTCCAACACCCTTGTCCAACATCCATTCCACCGTCGGCTTTCGCGTTGCTGCCTCCACGCCTCCACGGATCCCCATTGGATCCGTGGGGAGAACCGCTAACAAAATGGCCGACACCCTAATCGATTCTACCTCCACCTCCAGATCAACCTACTCCAGCACCCTCCGTCCTCAGCGGCTCCACGGCAACCACCACCCGGAACTCCCTACCACCATGAAGCAACTTTTACCCCCCGCTAACTCCCAGTGTGTGCCACGCCACAGTGATTCGATTCCTCAGGATTTTGCCTCTTTGCTGCTGCTGGAACTATACCGCACGTTCTAAATACACGATGAGGAATTTGAGAAAATATTTGAATCACGCTCTTATCACTGTGCTAAAAATGGGACACTAATTTTAGAAAAATTAGAGTTCGACACTAAACAAAAAGGTTGGTGTCGTAAATGCAAATGTAAACCTAGCAAATGTTTTATATAGAAGCAGCGCTAGGTTACAATAATATATGTTTTTTAAGCTGCCTTCTATCGACACGAATTTTTTCTACCAGGGAAAAAGAGTGAATTCTTTCGTTTCATTGGATCCCGTGAAGAAATTTACCCATTTTGCCCCAATTGAAACGGGGTTTTAGCAAGGGTTTTACCAAAAACTCTAGGAAAACTGGTTTGTCCCTTGCTAAACCCCGCGTTTCAAATGGAGCAAAGTAGAAAAATTTATACACCGGATTGATTGAAAATTTTAGCCTGCAATGAAATGTCGCAGCATTCATATTTAGCGAGATTGAAACATCTTTCCGATCTTTTAGGTGTTAGTACTGCCTATTATTTATATTTACAAGAAGCCTTTTAAAACAAAAGAAAGAAAGATAATCTTTTGAGTACAGATTTGGTTTAAGATTTGTCTGCATATATCTTCACTAAGAAAAAATTTTTGTTTTGACAACAAAACATTTGGTTATCGGTGTTTAAGAAAACCAAAATCTTTTTGTTATAAAAAATTTTGTTCATAAAAATGTTGTTTGACCAAACCGAACTTTGGTGAGCACAATACCAATAGCTTCTTTTTTCTTATTCGGTTGTGTTTTTTAGTTGGTTCACGAAATAAATTTAGGTGCATTGGTGGCACTATTTGTAGTACTTTATAATATTATATATATTATTTAAAGTGCATCTTTTATAAATCTCGTCATTAACTTATAAGATTTCTAAATTGAGATCATTAACAGCAGAAAAGTTGCGCGTATATTTCTGTTTTAAATAGAAAATTGGTTAGAGAATTCATTGTTCTGACTATGCGAAAATAATGATCCATCCGCAAATGTCTAATAAATGCTTCGCCATGCAATTTATTGTTGGTTTAAAGTTTTCAATCAAACCAATAAATTGGAAGCATTCACTGTATTTTTGGGATTGAAAGTTATATGTGATTTTAACCTTTTCTCGTATATACGTTATAAAGTTGTGTGCGGTCCGATTTCTATAATAGAGCAATCAGTATAATTAAGTTTTGACTACTTCAGTGAAATTTTAACTGATTCGCGTTTAGTGAAAATGTCTGCAATTCGAAGCAATTGAACTGAATTAGTGAATTGAAATTAGTATACAAATCTGAAATAATAAAATGCTGTTGACAAATATATAGCAAAATGGGTCTAATTATTATAATAATTGAATAACAACACTGACATATTAAGCATTTTTTTTAGATTGGTTTCTGTCGTTTGGCAACGATTATACAATAGATGTTTAATTAATTACTTTAATTAATTAATTAATTAATTTAATTAATTAATAAACGTTTAATTAATTTTAGTCGATGTTATTTTACTAGAGAATAATTTTAACTGTTTTAGATTCATATTGTTGTTTTACAATCAGCATTAAAATTTGATAGTAATAATACTTTGTTTTAGGTTTGATTTTTCTGAGAGAAATTCAATTCCATTATTTCATCACTAAATTCCATTTAATAAAATTAAATTCTATCAGTAAAATTTCACTGAATGCTATATAGTAAAATTATTATTATAAATTACTTGGTGGATGAATTTTATTCTTTTAATTAAAAGATAGCAGATGATGATGATGATGAATTTTATTCATTTCATTAGTATGACTTTCACTAATTCAAATTTAGAAAGAAATATATGATTGACAACCGCGCGGAAGTTAATTACTAATTATTACAGATATTGAATAAAGAATTAATTGTTAGAATATTATAGAACCAATAACAGTTTTCGTTTGTTGTTGTTCCAAAATGTTTTCTTGCTTAAACAGATTTATTGTTAAAACAAATCTGAATTGTTAGGATAATAAATAATAATAACTAAAATTAGTATAGTAATTTCTAATTTTCTATATACTAATTAGTAGTAATTTGTAATAGTGATAAACTTTTTATTACGAATTCAGATTTAAAGAATAAATTTTTTACGCAAGCTTAAAAAAGTATCAATTATATTGTCGGGCAGTCTGATATTGTAATATTTATAAACTTTGCGGATTCGAATCAGGAGATCTAAACTTAAAACGCAAGTGCGATTATAATTTAAAGATAAAAAAATAGTCCGATATCCTATTTGATCTATAATATTCTGAATCTGCATTTCAGCAATTTCTGTTAATATAGTTAATTAGTAATTAAAGCCGCAATTTAACCATGCTCATCATTGGTCGATTAAGAATTTAATCACGCGTGTGGTTGAAACCGCGGGCGACAATGTTTTACAATCAAATTATAAATAAAAATAAAATCGTAGAAATTAAAATTAAGTTTTATTTTAAAAATTGTAGTAATAAGAGTTATAATCTTTTAATCATAAACATGAAATTTAAATTAATTTTAATTAAATCAAACTTTTAATTTTCCAGATCAAAATCTTATTATATATACGCCAATTGCGCGGATGTCCAGTAGGATGACACACATTTGAAATCCAACATTTAGGTGAGTTTTTAGAAAATCATTTCAATATATATTTTATATTTACAAATATATTTATCATAATCTTTCGGGAAAAATCAATCTTAAGTATATATTTACTGATCAAATATTTACTGCTGAACGTGTTGTAAAATTGACCCATAATCGTATAACGAAAATCGGTTAAAGTCATCAGTAAAAATGTGTCGTTCAGATTAGGTCCAAAGATAAAATATATTTGAAAAATTGTAATTATATTACTATTACAGCGTAAAACGGGGTAATAAGGCTCATATAGAGGGTAAATTCGCTCGCACCGATTTCTTTTCTTCAAATTAGCTTTAAATAAATAAAATTTTGATATTTCTATTGACAGATTGAAAATTTTTACTTCGTATGGTAAAAAACTTTGTTTTTCTAACAATATCAAATTGAGACAAAAAACGAATCAAAAGTGTTGCGAATAAGCAACGTTTCAAAACTTTGCTTTGCAACACTTTTGATTCGTTTTTTGTCTCAATTTGATATCCTTAGAAACATTGTGAGCGAATTTATTGGCAATGAGTCAAATAACCCTTTTCTTATGGTATATTTTTATTATCTATTATTAATTGGAAAGAATTTTGAGAACTTGAAGATTAAAAAAAAAACCGCGACATATATTATAGTTGAATATTTATAAGGAGAGTTTAAATATAAATAATATAAAGTCTTTTATATAAAAAGAGCCTGAAAAAAAGTACATCAGATGTTTATATATAGATGCATGCATTCGGTATACTTGATATAAAGCTTTGTCGGCTTTTATTCTGTATATACAGTATGTTTATGTATATGTATAATGCTCTTTATACGCGTTGAGCCGCTTAAGAAATTCTCTATAGCCTCCTCTTGATCATCTTCACTCTCTGGACATAACCGCATAGTCAAATATATCTCTCAAGTATATACCCAATATATATGAATATATATATGTTTACATAGAAAAATATGTACTCAATACATTATCGGTTGAATTTCACGCGTATGTGCTTAAAAATTTTATTTTTTACCTCAATTTCGAGTTATTTCATGTCGAATCAAATATTTATTTTATATTCAATTTTGTTTTCAATTACATTCATTTTTTTTTTATCCGCACTCTTTAATTAGTAGGAAACTATATACAACTTTAGATTTAGAAAGTATATTTATTTTCATTTGTATTTATTTATATAAATATTAGTTTATATTTATATTTATTACTTATATTTAAATAAATGTATATGCATAACATATATAAAATATAATTTGTACATGCAACTTAGAAATAAATTTATTTTTATTTATTTCTAAGTTGCATATACGAATAAAAGCAGAGAATTCAAATAAAATGAACGTCAATAAAAAAAAAAACGAGCAATCCAACAATAAATGCAATGAGGCCAAATTTAAAATTTAAATCTCTTCATGCGTCTTTGCAACTTTTATATTCATATAGACTTTTTTCACCGAAATGCGGATTAGCTCGAACATATTAGACATACAGTTGAGTGAACACAAAGTAGACGATTTTTCAACAACTCATGCGAGTGGATTTCTTTTTTCCTGCATTATTCTCTATATGTATAAAACATACAATGTATATGGCTCTCACATCTGCGGTGTATGTATTTTTTTTCGTCAAAAAATATTTGCTTCAAATATTATTTCAGTTTTATTATAATTATTATATAATTAATGAATGCGGGGAAAAATTCTTTGCAATTATATAAATATAAGCAGAGCGCGTGCTTTACTATTGTTTTTCATGAATTATCCTCTGATTTTGTTTCTCTTTTTTGGGGAGTTGAAAATCTTTTTGGAAAAAGTTGGCATACGTGCGGTATATACTTAAGCTTCTCGGAGATATAGAGATGTTGGAAAACATGAAGGTCAATCTGCCTTTCGAGGCGCCAGACCGCCATCAAAGTTGGAAGAGGCTCTTTTAATCCTCCTTTGGGGTCGACCTATGGCTTTTTCTAGTCTAGTTTGCTCAGGCTCCTGCTTCTTTATTCTTCTTAATACCGGATTAAATACGACTAAGACAATAGAATATTAACGGCGAGTAAAAATTGATTTTTTGGAACAACATTTCGAGAAGGGTTTGTTTTAGAATCGTGTTTTGAATTATTTGATCGATTATAATTAGTCGTTGGATATTCAATAATTAGCTACTGCTGAATAATTTGTAATTAGTGGCCAGTAATTTTTAATTATAGTTCAGGGTTACCACAGGTTAGAGAAATCAGAGAAAAGTCAGGGATTTGTATATTAAAAGTAGTGGAAAAAATTAAATTTTTAGAATTCATAAGAAAATTCTGAATTTTGTTGTCTTTTTTGTTTACCTTATAAACTATGAAATTACCACGAATTATACAACGAATTATACAAATTATAACATACAACACCTTTCAATGTGTTCTATTTTCAAATTCGAACAATAATTTCTTTTTAAAGAACTTAATTTATGAAGAACCATCATAAAATTATTGGTTATAAATTAATTAATGAATAATTTTACTTAAATATTTGAAAGATAATTGAATTTTCAAAGAATTTCTACGCAAACATTCAATTAATTTAATAAATAATAAAAATTTCACAGGAATTCATATTACTTTGTAAATTTTTTATAAATTTCTTCACAATAATTTCATTATCTTCATAAACAATAAATTTTATTTACAGAGATTTAATTATTTTTATAAACAATAAGATAAGAATCTGTTTAGCAATTGAATTAGTTTCATAAATAATAAAACTCATCGCAAAATTTCAACTATTTTTAATACAATTTTAATCGAATTTCAGGAACAATATAAAATTATTCTTAAAAATTTAATTGAAATTCATCAAAAGAACTCAATTACTTACAAATTCGTTTATAAAATTATTTGTGAGAATTCAATTTTTAAAAAAATTCAAGTATTGAATAAATCATTTGTATTTGATTTAAATAATTGAATTCTAGTAGAATTTTGTAACAAAAAATGATTTAAAAATGAATTTTAGTTCAAATTTTAAAAAATAATTGAATATTAAAAACATTACTTACAGCGTAGAATTTAAGAAATAATTGAATTTTGAAAAGGATTCAAATGTAAATATTTGGAAAATCTGAGTTTTTTCTACTTTTAATTACAAATTCTGTAGAAATTATTTCAAAAATTTTAACGCTCTTCGAAAGAATTCAATTGTCTTGATGAATATTAAATTTTTTCCAAGAAATTAAATTATTTTCGGAAATAATAAAATATTCAACACAAAAATTTAATTATTTTCTAACATAATCAAATTCTTCGGAGAAATTCAAATTTTTTTAAAATTCTTGTCAAGTTTTGAATTCTTTTGTTATTAAATTTCTTCCCAGAAATTCAATTATTTTCAGGAACTTCAATATAAGAATTCTTTGCAGACTTCACTTATTTTCAGAAATTTTATAATAAAATTTTTGGTCAAAATTCAATTATTTTCAGAGATTTCAATAAAATTCTTTGCAAAATTCAATTATAGTTTCACAAATAATAATATTCATCATAAGAATTATTTTCAAAAATAATAAAATTATTCAGAGATCAAAATTTTTTTAAAATTCTCGTCAAGTTTCCAAATATCTTGTTAAATATTAAATTTCTTCACAGAAATTCAATTATTTTCAGGAATTTTAATAAAAATTCTTTGCAGAATTAATTTTTTTCTGAAATTATAATAAAATTTTTTGTCAAAATTCAATTATTTTCATAAGTTTTAATAAAATTCTTTGCAAAATTCAATTATTTTCAGAAGTTTTAATAAAATTCTTTGCAAAATTCAATTATTTTTATAAGAAACAATATTCATCACAAGAATATAATTGATTTATTTATTTATAAAATCTGTTCAAATTATTTTCAGAAATAACAATATTCAACACAAGAATTCAATTATTTTCAAAAGTAATAAAATTCTTCGCAGAAATTCAAAAATGTTTGAAAATTTTCTTTGTTTTCAATTACCTTTATAAATAATAAATTTCTTCTCTAAAATGCAATTATTTTCAAAAATTTTAATAAATTTCTTATCAAAATTACAATTATTTTAAAAAAATTTTCCTCACTTCAATGATTTTCAATGATTTCAATAAAATTTTCCAAATGAATTCAATTATTTGAACATAATTTTTATAAAATTCTATGCAAACATTTCATTATTTTCATAAATAATAAAAATTTGTCAGGAATTCAATTATTTACAAATTTTTTATAAATTTCTTTGGGTAATAATTCCATTATTTTTATAAATAATAAATTTTTTTTACAGAGATTCAATTATTTCAATTAATAATAAAATTCTTTTTTGGAATTCAAAATAAGGTATAAATAATAGAACATAATTAAATCAGAATATTTTTTAGGATCAGGGAAAATGACAAATTTTTTTCTGGAAATCAGGGAAAAGTCAGGGAAAACGAAATTAAATTTTTGTGGCAACCCTATGTAGTTTATAATCAATAGCACAATAGTTTATTATCAGTAGCTAAATAGTTTATAATCAGCAGACAGCAGGAGAATAATTTATAATCAGTAGCTGAATAATTTATAATCAACAGTCGAATAGTTTATCATACGCTCAACAATTATATTCGCTTTCCATTTCCCCAAGTTGGTTCACATATTAAAAAATAATTTATAATTCACGGTTTAAATAACTGTATCGATAGTGCAATATTAGTTGTGTCATTATATTCAACCATCTCGGGGGACTTTTAATTGAGTTTAAAAAATTTTCCACGAAAAATTACAATTCCATGCGTGAAATTCGGTGACGTAACTGACGAACTCATAACTCAATTTTCATTTGGTTCCGGTAGCCTTTCCCCCGGAAAGACCCCAGGGTGCTTTCTCAGTATACGCTCCGGAAAACCATGGATGTAAGCCACGCTAATGAGGGCAGCTTTTGGAATTAGGTCCACCATCAGGTAAACAAGTTTTGCCATGAATCCTCAAGGACATGAATGCGACATA